TTTTCCCAAATTTTGTGCTTCTACTATTATTTTTTATGATTCTTTTTATGCTATTTAAAATTGTTTAAGAAATATTCTTTGAACATGTTTAGAAAATAAATATTTACAGTATTCTAAGCATATAAAAGTGTATTGTGTAAGAATGTTTCCAGATATAACTGTGAAACTTTTCTTTCAATGACTTTCTTATGCAATGAACCATAAAGGATCAATATTCAAGCAATAGGTTTAAATATCCTATATAGTTTTTATATATTTTTATATTTTTTATTTCATCTTTATGTAATTTAATGTTACACATTTAGCAGATCTTTTAAAAAATATGCAAAAAAACATTATTTTCATGTTTATGGTAAGCTGGCATTATGTTTGCATGTGTGTATGTAACATAGTGTACTTATAAGGATTCAAAGCGACCTACTTGAAACAGCATACCCCTTTGATATTTCATGGTGTATTAAATGTTAATAAAACCACTGGATATCTTTAATAAACTCATTAATTAAATTTTTATTTGCTTTTATGTGTAGTAATTTAATTAATAAATAAATCCTTGAAGAAGTGTTTCACCATTAATTTATTAAACTGCTTTCAATTGTAACTTTCATATTTTTTTGTGACTTTGTATTTTTACAATTTTATCAAATAGGTGCTCAAGCATTTTCTCGGAAACATCCTCTATCATGTTGGCTTTCAACAATGTTGGTAGTATTTGCAAGCGGTATGCTATGCAATGGTCTTTTAGGGGAACCAATTCTTGCACCTTTGAAAAATACACCACAAGTGGTAGTTGCAACTATTGTTTGGTCAGTACATGCTTAATCACAATAAAGAAAGTAGTTTATTATTGAAGTTTTAAACATTTTGTGTGGAAGTTGCTTCTTTTAGATCAGTTTAATAAATTAACATTTTTCATAGTTTTTAACACAATATATTGCAAGAAATGTTAATATCTAAAATTAATTTACAATTGCATAGGTATGTGATATTTTATACACCATTTGATATTGGATACAAGGTAGCCAAGTTTTTACCTGTAAAAATTGTATGTGCTACTATGAAGGAAATATATAGGTAAGTAAGTATTATTTATTTTTCTTTGTTGTTGTTAGAAATATTTAATATATTATATTCCTACTATTTTCTTATAATTTGTAGGTGTAAAAAGATATATGATGGAGTAACTCATGCTGGAAAACTTTATCCAAATGCATATCTTATTATGATATTAATTGGAACACTGAAAGGTAGGTTGCCTGATAAAAAAAATAAAAATAAAAATGAAAAACTCTGAACTGTAAAATTAAGTAATTTATATGTAATTACAGGAAATGGTGCAGGTTTCACAAAACTGTTTGAACGCCTGATACGAGGAGTGTGGACGCCAACTGCTATGGAATTTATGCAACCAAGCTTGTACGATCATTTTCTCTTTTTTTCTTCATGTGATAAAGTTGAAACAATTAATACATAAAATTTTGTTATTTAGCCCTACAAAAGCATCGATGGTTGCGTCAATTATCTTCGTCCTAGACAAAAAGACTGACCTAATCTCCGCACCTCACGCATTGGTTTACTTTGGTATAGTTATCTTCTGCGTCTATTTTAAGGTAACAAAAAATTGTCTGTTTTCCCTTAAATGGAAATTAATTTATAATTTGTTCCATACTAATTGCAACCAATGACAATAATATTTCAGCTGTCGTCTATTTTGCTCGGAATCCATGATCCATTCGTGCCATTCGAAAATCTGTTTTGTGCGTTGTTCCTCGGAGGAATTTGGGATTCGTTAGCCAAATTGCTGGGCCGTGGCCAAGCTAAAGACGAGAAAGCGGATGCCAAGAAAAAGGACTAAATGTTTGTAAACTTCATACGTGTAACGTTAGATAATACTACACGCAATTTTACTATTACGTAATTGCTACGTATTTAAGATTTATCGCGCAAACGCGATCCGATACATTTATTTCCTCTTGTTTGATTCTCAACAGGTATACACAAAACCTCCAAAATATTGACATCAATATTGGCAGTAATTCACTAAGGATGAGTGAATGAAATCAATTTAAAACTAGTCAGAAGATACTCGCATGTTAAGATGTGACCATCGACAAATCATATAAATATCGGAAGTACAATAATTTATTATACATATTTTAATAATGACAAGTGATACATGTTGGAGAGTATGCCTTCGATCATAGAGAATACCAACAGTATTATCTCTGTTGACAACAGTTTGCCGACGTAATTGCCTCTCCATAACTAATCCGACGATTTTATAAGAATAGCATTACGTAACAAGTAAAATTTGTTATCTTTAATAAAGTAAAAACGATTGTTCTTAGAAGCGATAAGATACGCAAATAATTGTGCGAGCACTAAAGACGTGTCCCTTGTTGATTTTTAATCTATATATATGTATATATGTATGTATGTATATGCATATGTATGCATGTATGTATACTTCACACAATGTTTTAGCGATTTAAAAAAATTGTTGGTACTACATTTTGTAGATTGAAGTGCAATATTTAAATGCACGTTAAGACTTAGCAAGTCCAAACCGAAATATCCTAATTCTGGTATGCATCTTGCGTCGACGAATAATGATCGACTTATCGTGCGGTATTTATCACGAGGAAATGTACTCAGGTTAACGAATTTAAGCGTAAGATAATCTTAATGCGTAATTAAACGATAAGACTCCGATAATAAAAACGGATAGAACAAAATCTTCAAACATATAATGAAAATGTAAGACTAATCAACGAGGGAAATTTAAACCTCTTTTATACTATTTTACTACAATTAGATACCGACAGTTGGTACTTACCATACATACATATATCAAGTGTTTGCCTTTGACTCAACGATGTGAACATAATTTACTATGAAAATTAAATAACGTAATTTTCATATAATATTCCAATTGACAGAACGTTATACATTTTCATGTAATAAAATGAAGTTTGCTCTTCTAGATTCTTGGTTTGATTTATTGTTTTCCCATCTTATTGTGCGATAAAGCAAACTTTAGTCTTCTGACGTCATTGTCTAACCAAATAAGCGTAAAATACGCGGTCGGCAGTTAGACCACCCCCACCACAGACTAGCTATACAGTAGGCAATACATTTTTTTGTTCACACTACCAGAGGATTCTAAAACCCCATTACCATAATCCTACTGTATCGATTGGGACTGGTATTATATTACTGCGCTATTAGTGGTAGGAATTGAAATCAAAAACACTTGACATTTGTAATTTTAAATAATGAAGGAGAGAAAATTTCGAATTTTAGAATGAATCAGAATGGATTTAGTCACATACATTTACGTTTTGAGATCCAAGAGTTTATTCACACATAGTAACATTGTACATACAACCAATATCGATAGTTTTGAGCGATGTAGTTTTTAAAATGACCGTTCTTAAGCGTAGAGTGCGCTTCAAAACCAATAGTTTTGGACAACGTCGGAATTTCAGATCGTGTAACAAAATGTCACATAAGATGATTGGTCTACCTAATATCACAGATTCCGAGAAAGATAACATAGGCATAACAATAACGCAATAACGTGTGCCTAGGCGTAGAAGCAGTTAGGCGATAATGTGAGAAACATTACTGTACTGCCGAAATTGTTTATAACTTTTATTGAAAATTTAAAAATTAATATTCTTTTTGTGTAAATCAGAAATGAAACTTTCACGCCACCTTAAGAATTAGGGAATAGACTTCAACATCAGAAAAAATGAAGAAATGCAATTATTTATCAAAAAAGTAATTATTTATTATAAGATAATTGTAAAAAATGTATTTTACAAGAGGTTACCATATATCAGTATTGTTTTACAGCATTTTACAGTCCATTAATGTCTCCCTTACACACTATACCCATTTTCTTTCGCGAAACATTCATTCTTTAAATAATGTTCCATTACAAAATTAAATAAACTAAGTCCGGATAGTGTTAAGAACACGTAAACATCGAAAAGATCGCAAAAATCCCGAAATTCGAATGAAAAATTTCGAAAACTGCGCGAAAATAGCGTCGAAAGTGTAAACTATTACAATATTAGATATAATCTGCAACTAGTTGCTTCTGGCGTACATGTACTTACGTGGTTTCATGCACAACGGAATTTTGGAATAAGTTATATCAGAAGGCACATCAATGTTCGTTACGTCCGTCAAATCATAAGACTCTTTTGCTTTACAGTTCTTATCACATATATCTTTACAAACAACCGATCGTATACAATAATTATTGACCAATTGATTTTCGTTCAATTTCCTGCAAACAGTAGGCGGGATGCAAGTCGATCGACCGCACGTCTCTATACGTTTATTAACATATTTCTTTACAAAGTCCACGTCTGATGCCAGAGTTAATGTCTCTTTATCCAATTTCACTATCCCCTGACTTTCATTGCACTTTATTACTCGAACCAATATGGGATCTCGTTTCTGAGTACCTACACTTAAACCTTCTTTCGCTCTTTGTTGGGATTTTGCCAGACTTACAGAATCCTTCGCATATCGCAAGTTTGTTAGGTTTTCCATATCGCTGTTTGATAACTGTGTCGACGACCCATTGGTACCAACATCTTTGTAGCTCATATGAGTGGAAACTTCCTTATCTACTACCGGAAACTTCCTCTTCGCCTTTTCAAACGTTACCTTGTCGTTTTTACTGATTTTCTGCCCTTCATTCTCTTCCATGGTAGTAGATTCAAATTCTGGTTTCAAGATACTTTCCTCAGTCATCGTTAATTTACTGTCACGAAAGCTGGAAGTGTAAACTTCTGCAAAACTTGGTCCTCCCTCGACTTCTTTTAAAGAAGATCTTGCATCGAATTTCTGATAAAATTCTTTCACATTATTTTCTGTAATACTCGACTCTAACGTCTTCATCATGTACTCTTTAATTCCTTTCACCATTGCTGCCGCGTCGATCAAACAGGATTCTTTCAAGTAATTTTTACATTCATCTGAAATCAACGTTCGTTAGATCGTGAAAATTGATATATGTACTTGCATCAACTTACAATCAGTTTGTCCATTTGGTTTTGTGCTCTGTGATCCGTGTTCACGTTTGAATAATATGCTGTGCAAAAGTTTCTGCAAAATACATGCCACAGTGGGATCTTCTTTGATAAGAGTCAGTATATTTAGTGAGCATGTGTCTGTTGTGCACGGACTCTCCAATTGTTGTACTGTCAAAAAAAGTAATATTACAGTGCAGTGTTCTACAATGTTACAAAACATTTCGCAACATTGCAGTGCTATTCAGTGTCATAGGATATCATATATTGTCCCATAATATCGTATTCCGTTGTGTTGTATATAGTATGACAACGTGTGTTACAAAGTTACAAAGTAAAAACTAAAAGAAATGTTTACCTTCTTCATGTACAGAGTGTTTCGAATCCGTGTCCCAAACGCAACGTTTTATAGATTCATGGGACTTGATTCGAGTTAAGGGTAGATACCTTTCGTTTAGAACACACTGTACAAAGTTGGACCTAAGTTCTTTGACATTTTCCGTGGTAACACAGCCAACGGTACGGACTTTGTGCACGGACATACTGGTTCCAATTTCTATCATCTTTTCTGCAGACATACGGCAAGCTAAATTTCCCCGTGACACGTATATAGCACTCTGTGTTCCTTTTGAAACCTGATCCACCATGTTTACCGCCACTTTCTTCGATTCCGTGGCATTTCTCTTGTAGTGTTTATCTTTTCCTTTTTCTTGTTTGTCACTTTGATCTACAGTTTGAATAGAAACGCATTTTTTTGCTCCATTTGATACGCAAACTGTATTTTCCACCTCTTTTTCAATATAATTCACCGTGTTAACGCCTACTTCGTTTTTTTCGCTCTCAAGAGGGTGTTGCGCCTCTTGTGCCGTTGATTTCGTAGAGAAAATGTTTTCCGTTACAGGTACATTTAATTTTAAATTTTTGGTAGACTCTGGTAGAATAATTTTCAATTGAGTAGAAGCTTCTATTGTGCCACATTGCAATTTATTTGCTATCAATGGATCAATCTGTACAATTTTTGCTGAATTTTCGCTATGCTGTACTCCCACGTCCACATGTTTTTCAATAGATTCTACAGGCAGCTTGATTGGTGTCATTGTAGGAAGTTTTTTTGACAAATCTGTATGAAGTACGTTTTCTGATAAATCCCTTAGAACTTGAAAATCTCCGGAATTGTGTACATACTTCTTCGAATATTCCGGTCGATGAGGCATGTCTACATAAGATAAGTCGATTTAAATCAATAATTTGTGAAAGCTACAGGAAATTTAAAAACAAGGATTGCAATTCTTATACATGGTGTTAACAAAATAACAAAAAACTAGTTTTGACAGTTTTTTTTTATTTATTGACATACCATCTCGCGTAACTCTGTCACACCCGATACATGGAGTGTTCATTATACCAGGAAAATGTTTACTATATCCACAGCAGGAAGAAACATTTCTTTCCCCATTTCTTTCAATCCCTTCATACTTTATATCTTCCCAACCACATGAAGGGCATTTTAAAAATGGTGGCTCGTAACTTTTACCATTCTTTCTCGTTAAGGAAGGAGGATTCGACCTTGAATCTATCGAAGTGCTTGGAGTAGCTGCAGGATATTCTACTTAAAATTATTTAAAAAATTAGACTATCCATGTTTGAATATATCTTTTTTTCTAAATTATTTTTTCGAAAATAATGTTTACCAATGACCGCAGAGTCAGTATCTCTAGTATGTTTATAGTTTGAGGTCGTCTCCTCCTGTCGATCTTTGGAACCACCCTCTTTTGCTCTAAATTGAGAACACGGAACATATCTTACTTTTTTATTGTTTTTCTCTTTTAGTATGACTTTTTCTGGCGAACTACGTTTCCCGCCAAAACGAAAAGATTCTTCCACTGATTTGCTTCTTCTAGAAGCCAGATTGCTAGTTGCATCGTTACGAAAACGAATATTTAAAGATTTCGCTTCTGTTTCGGTTTTTTCTCTTTTTTCTGAATTATTTATATCGTCACTGCTCAAAGATCGGGGAACGGAAGTCGTTTCTCGATATTTGCATTTTTCCTCATCATTGATCACCTTTGTCAACATGTCTGCCACTATGTTGTACCAACCAAACGGCGATTTGTACTGTTTTTGGGACTGCAGACTTTTGATCGTTCGTGTTTGTTCCTGCTTATATCTGTACCAATGAGAATTATTATCTTAATACTTATTTAACTAAAGTAATAAATATTTGAAGTAGAATCATAGTAAATGAAACACCCTATATACTTCTCCTCATTTTATAGCATGAATTATAATTATTATAATTCTTTCGTTATTTCGAGCTATTTTCAACAAGCTACTTTCATTCGTGATGTGTTTTTATTTCCTTTCGTATTTTTTCCGTAAATCTCATTACAAAAAACTCTGATCGTACATTACTTTTCTCTTATAGTCTTGATTTGATGCAAATAATCGGTTACAGTAAACCCTGGTATACCAAGATCGTCGATAATCTTCTGCAATGCTTCGTTTTTTTCGCGGCAATTACGGTAATCTTTGTGATAAGGGTTCCAGAGACACGGATGCTGTTTGTACGCTATTATGAAATTGATCACTAATCTTTCATTCCATTTTGACGACATTTTATGTTATAAATTTTTCTATTGCGATTTAAAACAATGTCTTTGAAAAAATAGTGATAGTGGTTTTTGATACGTTTATAATTTTACGTCTACCCATATGATAAAATTAGAATCGATCAGAGGACATGTCTGAACTTGATCATTGCGATAGGTCGAATGGAATCGTTTGTTGAATCGCCTACGTCATTTTATTAACTTTTTACTACGACACTATGTATTAACACCAGAAGTAACATTACATTTTATATATTGTATCGTGGACCAGATTTTATTTTATATACTCAACAAATACATACAATTCGTAAAAGTTACATTAGGTGTTTACTATCGAAATTGCAAGATGGTTCCTCCTTGATCATAATGACAGGAAGACCGCAACTGCAAACCATATCTTTGTGGAAGACTTTACATTCGCTACAGCTAGAAATGGAACAACAATCGGAACATTTCGATTTTATATTACTCAGACGCTCTTGTGCAATCAGATCCTGTATTCGTGTTTCTAATTTAATAGCGATCTCTAGAAGCAAGCAATATCATTTTAATAATCATTTCTGTAATAAATTATGACATCAATATTCACCGAAACTTATATTCCGCAACTGAAACGCAATACTCTTGCCAAACATATCAAACTCGTCGTGAATTTTCCTTCTTCCTCTAATGTCCTCCTCCGTTGGAATGCAATCCGTGTGACTAATATTTTCCTGAAAATTGTTTTATATATATACATATGTACGTTGACCCGTACTTGTTTCGAGATGGAATTTCCGGTTAGACTCCAACCGAGATAAAAAATCTGTTTACCAGGTCGTTTACCATCAGTATACTTGCGAGTTTCGTACTATTGAGATGTATGTCGTTTTCCATACACACTTGACAAGTCGTACACGCGGTTTTAAAATAAGAGATGTCGGTTTGCGTTGCGTGCTGTGTAATGATATTTCTTCTAGTGTTATTTCCAGCGTCAATTCGAGTTACTTTCGGTGAACGTAAATGTAAGTAGTTTGTGTCATCGATAGCTGTGACTTGCGAAGTAAACGTTCCCTTACCTTCTGCTTGAGTGTATGGGCTTCTAAGTGGAAAATATGTTGTAATGTATCTTTTGGTAATATATTAACAGTATGCAAACGGAAGAAGTTACTTGGTTCGTGTACGAGGTTTGGTTTTATGTGATCTTTCACAATGACAAATTGCATAAGGACAATCACAGTCTCTGTTTTGCATTTTCCGTTCTAGAGGACCTGAAGGTGTCAACTGATCATATGTTTCATTATAGTAACAGTCTTTAACTATGTCTATTTTATCATCACTTATCTGAATGTGACAGGTTGAATAAAATAAATAAATTTCAAGTTTATACAATGTTGTTATTGTTTGAGTTGAGTGTTGGTATGTACCTTACAGAAATCACTTGCATGACTGTAAGTTGCTGCAAATGGAAAATATAGTTGGTGTACTGCTGTAAACCAAATTGCTGTTGGCTTGTAAAATTTTTCACAAGATATTGCAGCACTTATTTTAGATAACTCAAAACAGTATTGGGCTTTTACATATGTAATCCTTTTGATACAATCACAAATTGTTAAACCACAAACATTCATAGAATCCACAATCTCTTTGTAAGCTTTGTAACGACAAAGTTTATTTATAAAGTTAGGGTGGAAAGGGTTTCTTAAACACTCGTGTTTACCATAAAGAGTCACTAATCTCAATGTTAGGCTGTCAGTCCATGCAATTGGCATGATAAACTGTTTATATCATATGTAGTATGATCAGGTTATTTAACCTTGCATTTGCATAAATCCCACTATTTACAGATTAGAGAAGCTTTATATACATGTTTTGAATTCATATTAAAATCTGTTGCAAGAATTTTTGTATTAAAAAAGTACAGTGAATAAATTATATTTAGATTATACATTATACATACATAAGGTTTAAAAAATTACTAGAATTTAGAAAAATACATGTACAAAAAAAAATGAAAGATTACACAAAATATATAGTCTCTTTAACTATAGATTCTGTTCACACCTGTACATAATTTGAAACACAAATAACGAACAATATACAAAGATCAAAAAATTTATTCAGCCATGTTTGTTGTTAAAAGCATCATTATAACAGCATCTTACAAATTAAATTATTTTAAATTACTTTTGTATGAAATAAGAATTATTTTTAATTGTAAATTCGATGCAATATGTTCTCTGTTACAGACTAGAACCAGCAGTGAATGAAACAAATCTAACGCTTCGAAGCTAACATTTTCGTAAGAATTCCTTTCTGTTAGCATACCGTTGATCTTTTATATCGAATGACTGAATCTTACAAAAATTACTTTCAAACCTAAATGAGCTTTCAGTTATTAAAGTGCACTTGCAATCGCAGCTTCAAAGCATTTGAATACGTGAATATATAACAAAACGTTCATGTACAACCATGAATATGAATTTGTCACATATTTGGTGGCTTTACATTCTAAAACAACCTATGTATAATGTGAAAAATATTAGCATTTCTTGTATCATGCGTCATTAACAAAAATATACATTTTGCCTCTAATACAAATAAGTTTGTATGATTAACTCTGTTACTTATGCAACATCATATTATATACAATGGCATTTTTTGTATATAACAATTATACATGTTTTCTTTTATAATTATTCATTGTTAATATTATCTTACTGCTGCTTATATCTATATTATTTGTGCTACTGACACAATTTTATGAAGTAGACTCGATTGTTGAAGACATTGCAGGTAGCTGTTGAGGTACAAAGTTTATAACTTCATGATAAACAAGTTCTAAAAATAATAAAAATAACACATTATTTTTATGCACAATATAATTAAAAAAAATACATTAACAAATGGGCATGTACCTTTCCACTTTTCAACTGGCAAATCCATATCTTCAAAACTTTGATCATATGGCAGAGATACTGGTTCATCTGTTGGATCAGCATACTGTGCAAGATATGGATGTGCTAAAGCTTGTTCTGCTGTAATTCGTTTCTCTGCATCAAATTCTAACATTAATTCAAGCAAATCTATGGCTGCAAAGTAATTTAAAATATATTAATTTAATATTCCAAAAATTTGGAAT